GAAGCAATCAAAATCAACAAAAGAGCAATGATATGCAAGTGCTATAACAAGTTTCAATTAGCTTAACGCAGTAAACGTAGCAAGTTTTTTTTAAATTATAAAATAAAAAGAAAGAACGCAAGCTTCAAGAGGGCTCATAAGAAAGAACGCAAGCTTCAAGAGGGCTCATAAATCTGAAGTAATGAATTTAGGTAAAGGGGTGCAGAGCCTGTAGTGGTTTTGTAGGCAAACATTAATGCCTTGAATTCTATGTGAGCAGCTATTGGTAGCCAGTGCAAATTGATAAACAGAGGTGTGACATGCATTCTTTTTGGATAATTAAAAATTAATCTTGCTGCTGCGTTCTGGATTAATTGTAAAGGTTTGATAGAACTGGCTGGAAGACCTGCCAAGAGAGCATTGCAGCCTGGATAGAACAAGAGCTTGAACAATAAGTTGTGAAGCATGTTCCGAAAGAAAGGGCCTGATCTTCTTGATGTTGAATAAAGCAAATCTGCAGGACCGGGCAGTTTTAGCAATGTGGTCTGAGAAAGTCAACTGATCATCAATCATAACTCCAAGGTTTCTGGCTGTTTTTGAAGGAGTTATGGTTGATGTGCCTAACTGGATAGTGAAATTGTGATGAAACGATGGGTTTGATGGAACCACAAGAAGTTCTGTCTTGGCAAGGTTGAGTTGAAGATGCCCTTTGCCAATAGGGTTGACAGGAGGATCTGGTGGTTAACCGCGTCAAAAGCAGCGGACAGACCGCCCTGCATTCTCGTGTGGTTGATACGCTCTCGGAGGCGCGGGCGGCCTCCACGAGACATTTCTATGCTCTAAAATGGGGAGGGTTTGTGGTGCCGTGATGTTCATATCGACCCGGCTGCTTGCTCCGTGTCGGATGTTCTGCGTTTTCTACAGTACAGGCTTGATAGTGGATGTCTACCCGTCAAAAAGGAGGCTTTCCTACTGGATTGTGGACGCTAACACGGCTGTTATATGAGCCACGGTTTGGAATGTCCTTTGCACATTAGGGCCCACTCAACAAGAGCTATCGCCTCCTCCTGGTCGT